GCCACCTCTAACTCGCTTCGTGCAAAAGCAAGCAGCTCCTGGCAAACATCAAGAAGCCACTCCAAAAGGGTTGCTGTATACTTTTTCCTCATACATGTTAATGCAACCAGCTTGGCAACCCACGTCACCAAACCTGTCGAACCTGTTCTTAAGCACATCTTGGTCCTCCACCGTTGCTGAAAAGGCCCAAACGCCACTCGTTCGATCACGCGTCCCGTCGAAGGGCACCTGGTTCTTCTGCAAGCGCTGAAAGGCACTCCTCGAAGGGCCTCGGACGCCGTTGGAGACGGTAACAGCGATGGATTCCAAGCGACGGCGATGGATTCCGCGTTCCAAACGGCCCGGCCTTTTGGCATCTTATGGTCTCGGACTTGTGTGTGCATGTGTGTGTTTTGTATAAGTCGGGAAACTCTGGTCAAAGGCGCAAGTTTGTGTCAACTTCACAACGTGTGAGTGCTTGATGGGCGTGGGTTTGCCCATCTCCTTGCCCCTCTCCAAGCTTTGTAAAGCGAAGAGCGAACTCTAAGGCAAAGACATGAGACGACCAGCCCAGCCGGAGATCGGAAGTTGCCTGCTCGTTCGCGAACGCGTTGGTCAAGCCGAGTGGGTCCTCTGTTTCCCAGACACTCCATGTATGGTATATACCCCTCAAACCAACCCAATGCAAGTAAATATTTTATCCATACATGGAGTGTTTTTTTGGGGGGGGCACAGCGGCTCACGTGCTGGGACCCGCTGGGTTGGGTCAGAAGTTCTGAAAGAGGCTCGGTTGGGTGCCTTCAGCAGCGCTTGCCACTGGGAGGATGACGTGGGAGGCATGGCCCATGGCTGTCTGAACGTTGGGGACCACTCCACCCCGTGATCCACGAAAGGACATCTGCATGGGAGCTGAAATAGTTATGCCCTGGCTGCTCTTCAAAGCTTGCTGATAAGCATTGAAATTCAGAAGTGGTTGGTCATTTATGGCAAGTTTGGCTTCGGCAAGTCAGTGGGAGCTCTCCCGCGGACGACTCACTCAGTCAGACACCCGTTCGGATTGTCACAGATTTTGTGCCTCAAAAAAGGTTCGGAGCGGCTCGCCCCTATGACTCGTGGATCTTGAACATATTCCCGACCTGTTCAGTGCATACCGAGCCCCAAACACAAGTGGTCCTCGAACAAGCAGGGCACCACCATGTCATGTCTGCCCCACTATGTCCCACGTACATGTTTGTTAGATAAACCCTAGGCTTCCAAGACCATCAAAAAGGAAGGTTGAGCTGGTTGCGTCGCGCAAAATAACTCATATAAAAACAATATTGTTAATACTAGAGGTGGTTCAGTAAAGGCAATTAAATCAATGGTCCATGTAGTTGAAAGCCTAGGGTTGCCCTTTTTGGGGGGCCATGCAGCGCTCCCATCTCTCCCATGAGCGCTCCAGCGACCGCGCCAGCGTTCGCCCAACGGCCTATTCCAAAGGCGCCCTCCCCACGGTCAAGGCCTCCCAGTGCCGTGCGAGGAGGGGGTGGTTTATATGGACCCCCGTCAGGGAACCATACGGCAACACTTACTGCAAGGAAAGCTGTTTTCAGTACCCACTGGCAGTACTACTGTCTGCTTTGCCTCAAAGCCAGCAAGGGCGGCGTGGCATCGAACGTAGCTCAAATCAATAACGTGGGCCATCGATGAGCTGCATCGCTCAAAACATTTGGTCTTTTGGCTTTCTTATGGAAGCCAACCTGCATCCAGCACCGAGGCCTGTGGAGCGGGCAATATGCCACTCGGAGCAACAACAGGCTACTGTATCTTAACTTATAGTCCATCAAACATCATTCCGTGAACAGCAAGTATAGTACTCTCATTATGACTCTATTCCTACTCTTGGAATTTTGTCACAACACGTCACCCGGCTATGAGAAAACCAGTACGAACCTCCCGCGAATCAGTTCAAACCTCCCCCACATGTGCTGGCTCATCCAAGACACAAACGCGCCAAGAAAGCTGGAAGGGATGCACTGGCCGATGGATTTCGAACTTCCTCGGGACGAGTGTTCGCGACGTTCGGCTTCGGTGGGGCGACTGAGAGGGTCGGTCGAGAGAAAGATCCCAAACACGACTCTAATGGGACTGCCCGGACGCTCCAAACTGCTCGACTGCTCCCTCAAAACCCTAGGGATTTGAGGGTCCGGCCCTTACTTAGGAGGGTCCATGAGCGTTTAACTGCCATAGGACTGCCGCCCCATTGGCCCCCTGGCACCACCCCTGGCCGTTTCTCGGCAGTCCTATGGCAGTCCCAAACAGGTCGTGTCTGGGGATGGTCGTCTCTCCATCGATGAAGCATGAAGCATCTACCAGCCTCCAACAGGTCTCCTGTTCAAAGGGTTGTTAGGCCCTATGGCCCAATGTGTCTTCTTCTTTGGGTGAGCTTTTCTAGAGCTCAGGTGCCTGGAGTGCCTGGAGTGCCTCAACACACACGACACCTGAGCGTCAATGACGTGCTTAATTTCGTTAAGAACTGCTGAGGGAGCAAACAAGAGAGAGAGAGAGAGAGAGAGAGACAGACAGACCAGGAGTCACAAAGGGGTGCTTAATGGAGGTTAGGGTGCCTATATTTATTATCCACTCACTTAGGGACTAAACACCACCCCTTTGTGACTCCTGGGCGGAGAGAGAGGGAGGGAGTGAGTGTGAGAGTGAGTGTGGGTGAGTGAGTGTGGGTGTGAGTGTGAGTGTGAGTGAGAGTGAGTGAGCGAGTGGGAGAGTGTGCGTGTGTGAGAGAGAGAGAGAGACAGAGAGAGTTGTCAATCTGAAAGCCCTGTAACAGGGCTGTTGGGTATACCTACTCCCTGCAACAGTGGATGATGACGGTTCAGTTGCAGGCCGACATCTCTAAAATAGTGATGTTCTTGTGGATCCTGACGGCTCTACAGGTCATGCGACATCTGTATCAGGTATCAGAACCACCATGAACCACCGGACCGGTGGAGTGGAGTGGCACTCCACCTCTGGGTGCTGCAACTGTTCCACTTCAGCAGTGTAGCTCTGCGCCTGCGCTGGTCATGCACTTGACAGGCACTCAGTTAAGCGTGGAAACCGCCAAATTGACTACGCCCGAAAGCACTCCGTCTTACTCCACAAACTTGTGGAGACGTCCAGGAGCCTCCCTCCACTGGGCAACAATTAACAATGCTCATAAACGCGTCTAAACTGCCGGAAGTTGTGGTGTGATTTCAAGATTGCAAACAACTTCAAAATCTTGGGATCCCCAATTTTGGGGATCTCGTCTTGTGAACCGCAGCTCTTTGGAGCTGAGCTCAGGTTGACTCGGGTGGCGAACAACGCGCGCGCGCGCGCGTGCAGAACCACACCTGGCGGGACCTCGGTGACCGGTGCAGTGGTTGGAGTGAACGGTTGGGACACCCCGTCGGCCCGGTCCGAGCGGTCGCTGCCGCTTCGAACGCCGAACGTAGCGTCCGATCGTTCCGTTCGTAGCTTTAAAGGTGAAAACGTCGAGATACTCGGAGTGGTCGAGGCACGGAATCTGCCGGTGACGGTGAGTTCTTCGATCCGGACTCCGTCGCAAGTGAATCCGTCGAGTGCAAGTGAGTCCAGAGTTCCATGTCTCACGTTCGAAAGCATGATCGAATTGCGTGGAATTATCCCTACCCTAAGAATCCTTGGACCCTCCTTAGAAGGGGTCGAACCCTCTATAACAAGGGTTCGTACCCGAACCAAACCCTTGTTTTTGAGGGTGCAGATCCTTAGGGTATATTAATAAGAAGGTGGTTCGGGTGGGTGTGGGGGGGGTCGAATCACCTTCTGAGGATGTGGGCCAGGAGCCCTAGGGTATAATGGTATAATAGACTGCCCATGACACTCCAAACACTCCATGGGATGCCAGTCCTGATGCTCTAGAAAAGTCTAGGCCAGGGGTGGTTGATTTGAAGGGTCGATTCTGTGTCAGCATTTGCATGGCAGTCCCAGTGTTTGAGTACTGTACCAGGGGCCCCACAAACCATCAGAAACCAGGTGTTTCCCTAGCAAAAAAACATGGTTTTTGTATGTGAAAACCTGTGTTCTTTCATGGTCAACTGAGGGCCCCTGGTAAACTACCCCTTGTTCCAAGAAAGCTCTGATCCAAGGGACTGAGGAAAGCTCTGCCGGACCTTCACTGGCCATTGGAAGGTGTTCTTTCCATTGCCAAACCTCAGGACATGGAGCCAGAGCGATGTCGCTCCACTGACTGGGTATGTTCATTTACCTGAACAGGTGGCAAACTCCACTTCCATGAGGTCGATAGAAATAGGTTAACAAGTGGATCCACTTCCACCTCCAGTCCTACCGTATATGTCAAACACTGCAGCAGGCCCTTCGGGCATATCAAATTGCAGCTCCCATATTCCTCTTCCATGCACGTGGAGCTAAAGGCAAATGCCAACGAATTGCAACTCTATGGGAGGCCTTTTGTTGGGACCATCGGAGGCAGCGTCACTTTTTTCTGCATCAGACTGGGTCCAAATGGAGGACCCAAGGCTGCCAGGTCGCCGGAGCGGCACGGGTCTCGAGAAGAAACGCCACAATTCCCAGACACGACCTGTTTGGGACTGCCATAGGACTCCCGAGAACCGGCAAAGGGGTGGTGCCAGGGGGGGGTCACTACTGGGGTCACTGTGGGCATATATGGCAGTCCCATTAGTCGTGCTTGGGATTGGTTGATCCTTCTCCCACTTGCTCAGGCCGACCTTGAGTCAGGACAGCGGGGGGCGCATGGACAGTCCCATTCCAGGACAGTACTACAGAGGCGTGCAAGCGGCGGCACGCTGCCCACGTTTGGAACCCCAAGGCGGTCACAATGCATGTCTAATTCGGACGCCGATGTCCCAGATGTCAAATGGACTCCACGTGTCGCAGCGCCCCCGAGTAATCTTGGAGCACTCTTGGAGTGCATTCTCCAACTCAGAGTTGCTATAGTGGATTGAGAGGACCAATGGCACAGACCCCAATGTCGGTTTATATGGACCCCCATCTGTCTAGGACATCGAACCAGCTCTGTGCCATCGAACCTCTGAAACCACTGTATAAGTGGTTAGGGAACCGAGCACCAGTAGGGCTCGCTCCCCGTTCACTAGCGCGGTTTCCCGCCGTAGCGTCGGCCGGGCCCGGGTGGATCAGGCGCCAACATCCACCACTACACGCCCACGGACGTGCCCCGCCAGGATCTTCCTGGGAAGACGTGATCCAAGGGGGTGTCCTGAGTCCTGGCAGACCATGGACTAGTACATGAGCCCATGGTGGTGGGATTGATGGGTTTTTCGTACTCGACTGCAAACACATGCTTCAGCATCCTCGAGCGAATCTTGTGCTAGAAACTTGAAACAAGTCTCTGTTTGGGCCATTGCTCCAATCTTGCGGGGTCTATGAAAGGTAGAAGACTCTCACGAGCAGGAAACAAAATGGGCCAGGAGTTGTGGTTCGACTAAGAGAGGAATGGTGAATGGCCATTGCACCGTGGGCCGAGGTGGCCTGCAAGCTTGATGTGTTTTGGCCGAAGAAAGTGAAAGAACATTGACATTTGGTCTTTCTCCTCACAAAGCTCTTCTCAGTCATGTGCGTTTAACTGAACTTTACTTTAAGATTGCTGGTCACCAACACACACAAATGCATCAACCAATCATTGATGCAAGGAGTTTGGTCAAATGCAAGAGGAATAATCCTATAGCAGTTTTGGATTAGTACTCCTCCCGAATCATTCCATCATTCCACGGTTCTTCTTGATCAGTGTGTTGTATTAGTAGGCACTCCCTCTTCCTAGTTTTCCCTGCTTGTATGAGTGATTTCCACCATCCTCTTTCTTTTTCTAGAATGGACACGTGACGAATTGCTAATCAATATGTATAAATATATATATAAACTGTAAATCCAATTGAGATAATGGAAAAAAAAAGGATAACGGGTTTTAATATAATCCTGCAAAATGAACCAGAAGTGGACGCTCAGAGTCTTCCGTCCTCTAATTGTATGATGTTTTATAGGCCCTGCATATCCTAAAATGATGTTAATACACTGGGTAACTCAGAAGCAAGACATGAGAATGCACAGGAAGCTTCGAAGTCTTGGTCCAAGGGAGCCTTGTGAGTGGCAAGAAGTGCTGGCATATCAATTCTGAAAGAACTTGGGAACTGCAAACAAAGGAATGCAAAGGAGAGCCGGGGGCGATCTAGAGTTGATCCCTCCTACAACACCATTCTCAAACTGCTAATCTTCAATCCAACATGCGCTTGTTTCTTGCAAGAGCCATTCAAGGTAGATTCTTGGGGCGTTAGCAAGAAAAAGCATACTATAAACTACACACAAGACATTGCAATACCATACATGTATACCAGTCCCCTTCATTCCAGGCATCTCACACCACTGGGGCAGCTCTTCCAAAGGAATGGTCGCCTCGTGCATGGTGCGAAGCGCCTCGCAGCGGCAGCGCCACTGGATGAGTCGACCCACATGGAACCTGCAAACCCAATGGGTTTTGGAGGAATTTCGGTTTTGCACAGTCCATGCGGGTCGCCCGGTTTCCATGTGGGTCGAGTCTCCAACCCGGGTGGATGACTCGAATCTACATCTTTTGGCCGATGGCCGGGCTCCGCAGTCGGCAGATGACCTGCATGCGCAGTGCTTCGAAAGCAACGCAAGAAATGTAATTCCTGTCAACGGGCCTTGTTCAGCACAGAGTTTTCTGTGAGAAGGTGGGACTGGGGGTGGTTTAGAGGGTCGAAATACCTTCTGAAAGGAAACCACGCCATTGGATTGGATGCTGGGGCGGCGGATGTTCGGGTAGAGGGTCCCAGTTGCCTTGTTCATGCTCAAACGGGTCAAGCACCACTCAACTTCACCAAAGTCCTCGCCAAGGTTCTCAGCTTCCTTGCCACCTGAATCATTTTGGAACAAGTGCTGGTAACATGATTATTTTGATGGTTGCGTGGAGCCACCCCGAAATCCAACCACCCTAACCACTCCTGTAGAAGGACACGCTGACCGAAAACCACCAGGGACACACACACACACACACACTGCGCCTGGTGGAGCTTCAGCTCATCCAGGCGCCGCCAAATCTCCAAGCGTTTCTCCCGGTCGCGCCGCCACGTCGCAACGTCGCCAGGGTAGCCGGGCACGTTCCAGGGCAGCGTGGCATCCACACCGATGAGGCGAATGCCACGGAGCACGAAGGGATACCTCACGACGTGAAGAGTGTGGCAACAGGGCGGGGGCGAAGCGTTTTGTTGGTTCTTCGCACAAGTTGTTTTCATGGTTTGCCACCCAGGAAGGGTGGAGCGTCTAGTTTTCTTTCAAATAACCCATACACTCGGACTGGCATAGTCACCGATCAGGCCAGAGGTGGTTGAAAAGGGGTCAATGTAGTCCCATTGCCAGTCCCATTAGTCGTGTCTGGGTAACATAAATAATGCCAATCGCCTGCGGTATCCTCGGTCAAACCCTCAAGACGAGGGGTGGATCAATCCTGCAACCCGATGAACGAAAGACTCCCGAAAGACCCTAACCCTAGCCCTCAAAGACCATTAAAAGAACGGTTGAGCTGGTGGTGTAGTGTAAAAGTCCTTAGTAAAACAATATAAGGGCTCTTTGGTAAAGACCATTATAGCAATGGTTGTTTGAATCCTAGGGCAAAGATCCAAAATGGGTGGTTTCGACGAAACGACCATCATGGAGCTCAGTGGTGTTCAATCAAGCCAAGTACATGGTTGAGTACAGTACAGGTTCAACATGGTTGAAGCTACTGCCCTATCCGAACAGATCGATCCAATATCCGAAACCACCGGACCTGTTGGAGGGCTGGTATATAGATGCCGGTTTAGGAGGCCCCAGGCCAACCCACCTCCATGTGAAGGGGTCCCCGGAGAGTCGCAACTCGGTCTCACATACCTCGGACACGACCTGTCTGGGACTGGCAGTTCGGACTGCCGAGAAACGGCCAGAGGTGGTTGATTTTAGGGGTCAATGTATGGAGCATAGGACTGCCAGTCCCAGGCAGGTCGTGTCTGGGTACTCATTGCTTTTTGCGTCCAGACTAGTAGTGCATCATATACGTGTGCTCATGCTTCTCTCTTGAGGTTATAACCTCAAGAGAGAAGCTATAACCTCAAGAGAGAAGCATGAGCACACGTATAACCCTGGGGTGGTGTACATGTTCAGCACAGTTCAATCGATCGAAGTGTTTCTTGCACGGCATCCCAGTTCGGACGCTCTAGCTGAAACTCCTTCGTTCCAATCGATGCCACCTTCGGCTCACACGGACCGTTTGCTTCGAGCCTGGCCAGTCGAGTTGCAAGCTCGCCTCCACATGTTGAGCTCCGGCCACGCCGATGCATGCGCAGGCGCCCTGGTACTGCAGCTGTGCTAAGGCAGTGCCCAAAGACGGAGAACCCGCACAATCCAGCACCGCGGACCAGCGCTGGTCTTGGAGAGGCTTTGGGTTACCTCAAGCGTCGCTTTGAGAGGAAGATGCTGCTTGGAAGATGCTGCTTGAGGATGCTTCCGACATTGGTGACGGAACCTCCAACCAACAAAAAGAATCTAAAGAAGACATCGTCATTGCATGTCCAATATCTTCACATATGATACTTGCGCGGACCCTGCTTAGCTAAGTTTGGCTAAGCCTAGCTTTGACTTTATAAGAATTAGTAAGTCTTGGCTAGGACTTAGCTAAGTCTGAACTAAGTCGGACTTAGGCATGCGATTTAGCTTCGGCTTAGCTTTGACTTAGCTGTAACTTAGCTCGGACTTAGCTGACTTAGCCAAGTCGGCTAAGTCTACGTTGGCTAAGTCGGCTATGTCTATAGGTGATAGGTTGGCTAAGTACGATCGAATAACAACCAAGCAGCAATTAATATGAAAAGCAAGCAACTAGAAATGACAGCGGCCAGGCCGCGCAGCGACAGGTAAATTTTCTCGTCACTGGAAAAGACAGTTTACAGTCAAACAGTATTTTTCTGACAGCCTTTTCCTTTAAAGTGGTCTACGGTCAGAAAGTGTCAGAAATTTGTCTGACAGCCTTTTCCTTTTAAAGTAGTCTACGGTCAGAAAGTGTCAGATCTTTTTCTGACAACATGTTCCTTTTAAAGTAGTCTACGGCCAAACTTAGCCGACTTAGCCGACTTAGCGGACTTAGCCGACTTAGCCGGCTTAGCTCACTTAGCTTAGCTTCGACTTAGCTTTGACTTAACCGACTTAGCCAACTTGGCCCTAAGTCGAAGCTAACTCTTCTAAGTTGGCTGGGCCCCGGCCTAAGCGCTTACTAACCTTTATATCTCTACTAAGTCAAAGCTAAGTCAGCTAAGTGACTTAACCTACATAAGATATGGGACTTATAACCTAGGTTATAACTATATAGGTTAGGGAGGTTATAACCTATACTAGAGGTTATAAGTCAAAGTTAGAGCAGGTCCGCGCAAGATCGCGCAAGTAGGTTCTGTTAATCCTCCTGTGACAAACTGGAACAGTTTAAGCACCCCTTCTTCAGAGGCTGCACTCGTTCTCGCCATCAAGAGACGTTCCAAAGCTCCGATCACATCCTTGGTCGCGATGGGACTGACATCAGTCAACGTCGACTACACCGTCTCCACAGACACGACACGTCTCGGACTGCCAGTCCGGACTGCCGCCCCAGAGGCCGACCCCCCTGGCACCACCCCTGGCCGTTTCTTGGCATATATGGCAGTCCCATGGAGTGTCAGGGTGAGGTTGGTGGTGTTCGTGGTGGTGTTTCGTGGAAGCGACTTGTTGCTTCATCGATCGAACACTTTGCATGGCTATACGGGCGCCCTACGCATGGTGTGCTTTGGCTCCAAAAAGGGCAAGCTGACGAAATAGAGCCCCATGTCAAACGCACAAGACTCGACTCACTTGCCAAGTGTCAAAGGCGCCAAGCTCTTGGAAGTAGCTGCCTGAAAAAGGATGAAAGCAGCTCGATCCGGCCGAGAAACAAAAATGCCCGACAAGACTGCTCGCTCCGACCCCGACGGTTCGGTGGATCCCCACGAACGACACCCTGCCACTATCGTTGGGGGCCACGAAAAAGCTGCAAGTGGCGAAAACATCTCTTATATCAGTGTTTTTTTGGAGATTGAACATGTTGTTTTTCTCGTTTGGAGATGGAAACAAGTGGTACACCCATCTCCCAAATCATGCTCCTAAGAGTAGGACACCCGGGGCCCCAAACCCTTCAGGCTTCGACCCCGACCGCCATGGTTCGGCTCCGGACGATGGCACGACTCTGCTCGTCTCCGGCGGAGTGGCTCAACGACTCTGCTCGTCGCGAGGATGCCACGACCTGCACCACTGCACCCGGCGATAAGAGGGAGACCCAATTGAAACCGGGTAATGAGCCCTTCACAAGCCAAAGGAGACTTGTTGGAGGGTGCTGGAATATGATATCACCAGTATATACCAGGACCCTCTAAGGGGTGCCCAATGGAAGCCTATAGGTAGTGTGGGGTAGTCCATTGGACACCCCTTGGAGGGTCCTGGTATTATATCACTGATATCACTATAGTGAAGCTGTCAAAGACTCTCAACAAAGAATTTCCCCGTATCCCACGGCCGTATCCCAATATCCTATGGTCTGACAGCGTGCAAACGCTGCAAACATGTGCACAGGTGTGCAAAGCAAGTCTACCAGTCTACCTTTTGCTGCTCTGTTGGTGTCTAAGAAGTGGGCCTGTTCCAAATCCCACTCGGTGCTTCATGAAGCCCCTGGATCTTGGCTCAGGCCTTGTAGCCCAGCTGTGCCAGGATGGCCACCGCCATGGACCCAGCTCCGCCCGCGGCTCCCAGGACCAGCACGGGTGCCGGACCAGGCTGGAGCCCAGCGTCCTGCAACTCGAGGACCTCAGCTCCAACCCGAGGACCAGGGCGGCGCTCAGGGGAAGCGTTTCTTCGGGGGTTGGGACCTCTTGGTTCCCAAGCACGACCTGTTTGGCACTGCCTGCCAGGACTGCCGACCCAGAGACCTTACCCTAATGGAAGTGGAACACCATCCCGGTTTGTAGAGGAAGCATGCATAAGCATGCCAATCCCGGACACCCCATAAAACTCCCGTAGGACTGCCGACCCAGAAAGACCCCAACCACCATCCCAACTGATCGGCAGTCCGCAGTCCCAAACAGGTCGTGTGGAAAGCACCCATGGAAGAACGGGCATGAAAGGAAGATGCTCATGCACGCTGCCCCATCCTGATATTAGGAACTGAACTGTGCCTAATATTTCAGCCCTCCCGAAGATCAAAGCCGCCATCTGCATGGCCGTGAAGCCAGCGGTGCCGATGATCATCGACTCCTGACATCGCTCAGCGTCCCGGGTCGGGTCAGCGCTGACTTGATCCCCTGGCTGGTTCGGTCCCCAAAAGGCCAGGAAGTACGGTGACTTAGTAAGGGACTCCAGTTCGTTTGGTCACGAAGCTGAAGAAGCTGGATGATGGTGTTCAAGCACCGAACATCCCATGACGTCTCTTGGCTCTTGGGAAACCGCGAGAGCCGTCTCCGAACGGACAAAAACCGGGAACCGGTCCACGGGCGCCATGATCGTTTGGAGGTTTGGGTGTTGCATGGGATCCAAGGAGTTGGATCGATCACCCCTGCCATCCATGGGACGGATGAAAACAAACCCGACATGCACCATGACTTCTCTTCCTCCAAATCTCTCCTGGGAAGGAACAACTGGGATTGGTTTCACAGGTTGAGCACCCTGAAGAGCCCCATGCTGATGAGGAGCACCTCTTCCCATTCTAAGCCTGGAGGGGAGGTAGGGCCTCCAGGGCCGGACGTGTTACGTTTCAACACACCAGAGATTGAGGAGATCCAGCTCTCTCGGCAGTTGGTGTGTTCAGTTCACTTCTGGCACGAAGCTCATTCTGACTTGATCTCTCGCACGTGAATGAAGAGATCATCTCAGTGAGACCTCGTGCTACACCAAAAGCCGCACCCTTCCAACAACAGCAGCTATAGTCACAAATTAGCAAAACAACAGTGGATGCAGTGCAAATACCAAAGCACGTACCACTACCCACCCAAAATCAGGGCCCACACGCTAAACTAAAGTCTGTCAGCCGGAAGAACCTCCGCTGCGCCGCGCTGGACAGTCACACCTCCAAAGTCAAGGACTCAGGTTTCGGCGCCAGCCATTCAGCCTGCACTCCTGACATGTGCCAAGCTCGAGTTTCGAAGGTTCTTTTTTGGCACGTTTCGCTTGTATCTCAATAGTCTAGCTAGCATGTACTGAATGGTTTTACTAGCATGAACTAGCATGTTGCTGAAGTGATCTGGCTGTGGGGAGCTGGCACCAGGAGATCGACGGGTTGACCTATATAGCTGGAAGGTATTTCACTTCATGGCAGACCAGGGCTCCAGATTGAACAACCCTTCCCCATCTGAAGTGGACTGAGATGGTCCAGCTGTGTCTCTGTACCACCATGACCAGGATATTGACCACTGTATTGCTTCATGGCCAGGATTCTGAGCGCAGCAAGTCAGCAAGCGCTGTCGAAGAACTTGGGCCTCTTGACTTCTCCCTATATGTGATAGCCTATATAACCCCCCAAAACAGAAACACAAACAAATGACTCAAATGACCATTTACTGACTGGAATAGCTCCAGTAAGGAATGGCATGGAATGGCGACCCTACGGTATCTACGGTGAGTTCATTCCCTCAGTCCCTCCCACCTGTGCCACTCTCTTAAACCTCGCCCAGACTCGGCATTGCTCGCTGTAGCCACCGTCACTGTGCTGACCGATCTTGTTACCTCGTGCTTCCGGTGCGTTCCCCTCGAGCCGGCCGCGTCCGAAAATCAGCGCTTCGCCCGGTGGTTCTGAGCCCCCCCAAGGTCGGGTTCTGCGCAGCTAATGCAATGTGACCCAGTGACTGAATGATTGGGTTTGATATATAACTGGTTTGAGAGCAAGGAACATCCCCACCTACCTCTCTGCCATCGGAGCACTTGCCAATTAGCACGAATATCTGGCATGGAATTCAGGAACCACTCTGAAGAACACTCTTGCGAAAGGTTGGAGCTCAACGGCGTGAAGAAAGACCTTGGCCATGACATTACAGCAAGCGAACGACGTGCTAACAGTGGCCGTCGCGGGACCCAACAAACTCTTGCTCAACGAAGTGATTGAACCAATCACTAAGAATCTCAAAGATGTAAACAGTTTTCTCAAAGCCATGCATCAAAAGGCCAATCCAAAAGCCCCAATAACTTTTTAGTCTAAGAATCAGTCAGATCACCAACCCACTTAATTTACACCACACATCGATCCTACCCAGTGCTACGCCAACGCCCAAACCTGCCAAGTGCTGCATTTCAACCATCCCCACACCTCCAATCAAACCACTTTGCTACCCTAAACCCACCCACCTATACCCAAACCTACCATTGACCTCTCCACCCAAAATATCCAGCCATCTTCCCCCACCCCAAGAAAAGCCCATGGCCTCCGCCCCGCCTCCAGCCTCCCATCCCGTCTCGCCACGCGGCCGGTGAGCACCACAGCATCGCCCCGTTGCCACAGCTCGGACGTGCTGCTCGCCACGAGCCCGGCGCAGTCGATGCCCGGCACCAACGGAAAGCGCCGCACGACGCCTGGGCCGAACGCGGCGCCGGGTGGCGCGCGGCGCGGAACGCGTGTGTGGAGGGCGATGGTGCGACTAGAAGCTGAGGTGGTGGGGAGGAGGTGGGGTGGAGGGGGGGAAGAACTTGAGGTGTTGGACAAGATGTGAATTTTGTTAGCCTTCGTCACTGGATGAGTCTCTCTATAGGAAGGCCATTGAGGATCCAAGCAGAACAAGGATTCAGAAAAAGTAATGAAGTAAAAACACATTTTTTTGAGAGATGTCAAAATTCTAAGGAAGGATGTTGTGGGTAGTAGTCTTGACCTGCATGTGTGTTATTTTTGGGATACCAGTGCCTCACAATCCGCCATCCGAAGCATCAGCAACAGACTCCAAACCATCCTGATACGTGGAATTCACTCATTGTATCAAACCCCATTTTAAATGCACGCAGTGGGCGGATTCATCCACATGATCAGGTAGTGGGGAACCCAATGGATGGATTAATATACCCTAGGCCTCCAAGTACCTTGTGAGAAGGTGGGACTGGGGTGGGTTTGGAGCGTCCAAATACCTTCTGAGGAGGTACTTGGAGGCGTAGGGATGTATTATTGGATTCGATAGGCTGTGTCGCTGACTAGGGTCCAGGCTCCCTCCGGTGGTCCAGTTGCACAAAAAGTAAATTGCCAATAATAGCTATAAATCAATCATTGGCACTTGGCACCCGCATCGAACCCAAAATGTGCAACCCTCTTGAACTTGACAGAATATGTTTGTTTATACCTGTTGCATATGATAGCGGTCTCCAACCAGCCTGTGCTTCGATGATCATGTCTCGATGTTTTTCGCAATTGGCTCGACCACCCGTGGCTCGAGCACCAACGGCTCCAAGCTACCGTGCTGCCCCTGAAAAATCATGGCATCCTTGTAGTTCCTGAGCAGAAAAAAGCAATACTGCAAAGCCAGCAGCCGTCCCATCTGTTGCAATGACGATCAAATCTACTGCCCCTCTGGGCGGAACAGGCCATACTACCGCCAAATCTACTGCCCCTCTGGGCGGAACAGGCCCGCTTTCACGTCGAATTCGGATTCGAAGGATCAAATCACTGTACTTCACGTCCACCGTCACGGTGGCATCAGGATCTGGCTGCGGCAGCTCTCTCACATGCTCGAAGTGTTTCACCTCAGAACGATCCCGACTCGAGACTGAACAGTGGTTCCGGAAGTCCCGACGCGTCACCGAACCATTCATGCGCCTACTCCTAGGGTTTGTTTGTGAATTAGGGGGCGTCAGGGCTACTCCTAGGGCCCTAGGGATCCGTTTTCGTACCTTCTCCTCAGGTTCGGTACGACTGGACCCGACGCTTTGGCACCTACATTAAGAGTGTCGAACACATCACCGTACCTGAGAATGTACGAATGTACTTGGATCCCTATGGTAGGTCAATTGGGTGGAACATCTGAATTCATCCGTCTACGGTCCCGGACGTGTCGACTGGGCGTGACCATCACGCCCACGAACTTGCGTTGAACTTAGGAAACCATGGACCATGATGCGCCATTCCCGTCGACGGCTTCCCCAATGCAAGTCTGGTGTCTAGCTAGCAGCTCATCCGTATGCCATGTTCATCCCCATGGAAGGCCTTGGCCGAATGCCTCGCTTCCCATCCCTCGAACCGCCTCCCACCTCCAGCGCCTCGGGCCTCACGGGACTTCAACTTCCCCTTGTCGGCATCCACCACCCACGCTCGGAAGCTACGCTGCGCACGATAGGCCACGCGCTGCGCATGCCGCTGCCGGGCGCTGCGAGCAAGGCTGAGCATTTCAACGGTGAGCGCAGCTGGATGGCGCTGTTCAGCACACGGAAAGCCCAATCTGATGGGCAAAGCGTGTGCTTTTTCGGCCTTCTAAGCAGTGGGGAGACTTTCAGGTGCTCATGGTAGGCTTTGCTGTGAGCTGATGAGCTAAAATCGAATTTGACCCTCCTGATGGCAAACCGAACACTTTTTGTGCATACCTGTTCCGGTGTGACTACCTTGTGAAAATTCAGATGCTCAATGAAGAATAGGAGTAGACATCACCTCGCACATGGTCCCTGCTGCATCACTGGGGAGCACCCCCAGATTCCCACGAACTGGAATCGTTTGACGTGGAAACTCGGAGAATGTACAGCTTGTACAGCATCAGCCCGGCATGCGGGTCAATGTCAAGCCCTGGTATCCCGCGCTTTGATCAGCAGCTTGGAATTTTTTCTTGATTCTCACCATGAACATAGAGCAATTGCCGGCTATATGTTGCCAAGACTTCCAATGACCAGTTGACTGCGTTCAACCGGAAAAGGGCTCGAGGTGTTTCATGCCAGCCGGCCACATGCCAACGCTCTCGTTGGTTCGAAACCTTTGTTCCAAAAGGTGGCTGCGGAGGAGCAGTTGTTCGGGGATGACAAACCCAGAAACAGTCCATGGGACTGCGATGCCGACCCAGAAAGACCCCTCCCTCTTCAACCATGGACTGTCCGGGGCTCTCTTTCACATGTTGAGGCAGTCTTCCAACATCGAGTGGCAAGCAGGGATGTAGCAAGCCACGTGCAGGCAACGCATCCACTACGGTAGGCCCGGCACTGAATGGAACAGCTGCACAACAAACGGTCGCTCAATAGGCAGGTCGTGCAAATCATAATTGAGGGGTCACAAAGACTCTTGCCTGCCATTGCCAGCAAGTGTGCAACACAATTTCCGCCAAGTTTCCCAACAAATAGTTGCAACAAAAACTTTGCCGGCTGGTGTTTTGTATAGGGAGCAAGGGTGACTGCTGGTTGGGTGCATTCATATCATTTTCGTTGACCCTCCCTTCCCTGCGCAAACACAAACCCGACCGGGCCCCCCCCGCTGAATTAAGAGATGCATGCTGGGGAAGTCTAAGCCTCCAACACCATCGCCGGACTCATGTCACAGGCAAGTTGTCAAACCCGAAGGACAGGCAAGCCAAGGTTTGGAAGGTCTCTGTCAGTTGCTGCTATGTCTGGCGGATGGCAGCATGGAGGCTCCAATGACAACGCACACCAGCCAGCCTCTGCAAATGCTGAGGTTTTGCGTAGAAGGAGGCTTTTGATCTTTGGCCTGCTGCCAAAGCCGCGTTCCACCGCCCCTGCGAGTTTTCAGTGTACTCACCTTGCTGACGACCCAGTGTCCACCCTGTACCCTTCTGACTCACTAACGTGGATGTGGATGGCATAGTCCCTCAGGACACTATTCCCTAGGGCTCCAACCAAATCCTCAGAAGGTGGTTAGACCCCCCTAAACCCACCATAACCATCTTCTCAGGAGGTAGTTCCAATCAGTTCCATGTGCCATCCACGTCACCATGTGACGTTGTTCGTCACCGCTGGGCCTTCACCCGGCACCACCCGGCACCATCGGGCGCCAGCGGTGCGCCAGCGGCGAACGGAAACACAGGGACGCCAGCGAGATGAGGACATCCCTTCAAAAAGACGTCCCCACAAAAATGAGGACATCCCTTCAATCACCTCTTCGATGAGCTTTTGAAGCTCAATCTGCTCCTTTTCATCCAGCTTCTCCTGCCATTTGCACGGCAAATAGAAGTGGTGCTGATCCTTTTCGTTCTCCGAAAGGAGGGCTTTTCGGAATTCTCACGACGAACGTATTATTTTTCTCGCAGCTTTCCTTAAGGTGGTTTCGTCTATTTAAATTGGAACCTTTACATCAAATCAAATCTATCCGTTTTTGATATATCCTAGTCTATGTATCCCCTGCAATACGACGGTGACACTGATGGTGACCCTTAGTTTTTGAGAAACACATGATATACATCAGCTCGGATGAGCCAGGGCTCCTCGATTTTTTCGGCCACCCATCAATGAACTCTACATGACTCGTCTGAACCTTATGAATGGCCTCCCCGGAAAGTTCTGCCTGGGCCAAAACAAAGAATCCAGTGTGATCCAGGAGCCCTTCTCAACCAAACTAGGCATCGACGGTACTTAGCCAGCTGGGTCAACGCCACCCCACCGTCGTGGTTTTTTGCGCACGTCGTGGTCGAAACGCACCTCACTCTCGAGTTCCTGAAGCCTCTGGAAGCAGAATTGCAAGGCCTAGAGGAGACACAAGGGCGGTTGTCTTAAGAGCGGACGTGACCCTGGTAGAGACCAGCGATCTGAAGCAAGAATGCTGCTGCAACCAAAGTCAGAACGAAACACCTTTGGCAATATAGATTAGTCGCTCTTGCAGTCGGGCATGGCTGGATCGCATCCGGCCGAATCATCATCACCCATCATCTCAGGAGTGAACATAACACCTGACCTACAATCGACACAATCCACATACCGTAGTCAATTCACCCATGTCGGAGAGAAAAAACAATGCATTGCGCATGGGCAGGAAATTCAAAATAATCAAAAACGCCTGGGAGACAAAAGCCTTTGCCAACATTCAAGGGAAGTGATAAATAGAGGTTCAAGCTCTTTGATGACCGACATTTCAATCAGTTCTCAACCCCCTGCAGACTTTGCTGCAAAGGCAAGTCAAAGCAAGGATCTACTCTCCTGCGTGCAAAGGTTCATGCTTCCACAGGAAAGAAGAATTCAGCGCAGTAGCGGCGCTATAGCAGTCTCTATCATATGATCTGTGGGATGAGCTAGGACCTTTAGGAGGCCCCTCCATACACAATCCTGCCTGGGAGGGAGAAGTAGCTGCTCTTCAGACCAAAGTCTCTAGTCAGCGATGGCCTCCAACCTAGTTGTCGTCCGGCCGTCAGCATGCATTGGTTATGTTGCATCCTGCTGCCGACTGTGACAGGGCCTCGATCGTGTACTTCTCCGCCTCCCTGTACGTCATTTTGACTCCGTTCACGTCCGCTTCAAGGTCGCAGCAGCCGTGGTCGGGGATGCACTTCAGCGACGCTTCTGCACCAGCACAAGCGGCAATCTTGTTGGCATACAGGTCGGTAGCGACGTCAATGGAGCAGCTGTTCATGGCATCCTCATTGCAGCCGCCGCAGCCTTGCAAGGCAACGCCAAGCATGGCAAACATAAAGAACAGTCCCTTGATTGCGGTGACCTTCATGTTGAGAACTGCCTGGCTGGAGTTATCAGGAGCACAAAGAGGGAAGGCAAGCCACAAGTGCTGCGTTCGAGCCCAAATGCCGCCAAAATGAAATTCCATTGTTGGAAGTTGTTACAATCCCCCCCCCCAAAAAAAAAATATATATATATACTCAACAAATTATATCAACAAACACAAACGACGTAAGGAAACACGTCAATGCAAGTGAAAACTCTGATAATTAGCGCTTTCAAACTCACAAAGCTAGACGACTATAGGTCAAGCTAGCAGGGATTTCATGCTCCGGGTTTGGACCCCTGACTCCTTCAGTTCCCCGGGTTTGGACCCCTGACTCCTTCAGTTCCCTGGAAAATAGAGGTTACCTGGGGGTTGTTCAATATTCTTTTCACTTTCCCAGGCCTTTCGCAGGAACTTCGCGAAGTTTTCGCAAGTTTTCTCGCGTGGGTGTTTTTCCATGGTTTTCCCACTGTCGGCGAACATGGTTTTTCGTTGGAACTAAAGACTCTCAAGGAACCAAGCTGTTGCTGAGGAACTCCGGTTCATCCCTTCTCTTTTCTTTTCTCTCTTCTTGCCCCTCTTCTGGCCCAATTGCTTTTCCCAGGCCACAATCAAAACTGTTTTTTCCAGGAGCGGGACACAGTAATCGGAAGCTTGTGGGCGAGCTCCTTTTTGAGGCCCGGGAAAAAAACAGTTGGAACTCTGCGGACCACTTGCTTCTTCCAGGGATGGGTAAGGGCCAAAGTGAGCTCAAGAGCTGGGGTCTAATGGATACCAGGCCTACGAGCAAAAAAAAGTGGGCTTGAGCCCCCTTTCCTCTTGCTTTTGCCCGGGGTGGGAAAAAGCAATCGGAAGTTAGTGCGCCAATTGCATCTGCAGCTGGTGGGTGGGTTTTTCCTGAGCTGCCACGAAGGTGGTGATCCCAAGAAGCAGGGGGCCTGAGCTGCTTGCACGCTTCAGCAAGCATAAGTAGAGTGGTGGGGTTTTGCAACGTCGTCTTTCGCGTCCGCAGTGCAGACCTTTCGCCATTCTTGTGCAATTCCCCACCACAAAGGTATACTCCAGGACTGTGAAAAAGCAATCCGAAGTCTGTGGCCTAATTGTTTTTTCCAACCTTGGGAAAACGCAATCGGAAGTCTGTGGCCCAATGGCCTTTTTGTCCTTTTCCAAGGTCGGGAAAAAGCAATCGGAAGTCTGTGGCCCAATTGCTTTTTCCAGGCTCGGGAAAAAGCAATCGGAAGTCTGTGGCCCAAGTGCCTTTTCCGGGGTCGGGAAAAAGCAATCGGAAGTCTGTGGCCAATTGCTGTTTCCAGCCTTTTCCAGCCTCGGGAAAAGTAATTTGGAAGTCTGTGGAATTGCTTTTGCAGGGTGCCCTAGGTCACCAACTTGGCTTCCGCAAACCTTTCAGGACTGCAGTGGCAGCACAGTCAAAATCAGTCTTGAAGATTTGTTTACTAAAAGATGTGGTTTTTTGAAATACCACCCATCACTTCAGGAGTGAACATAACTCCTACAATCAACACAATCCACATACCGTTATCAATTCACCCATGTCAGAGAGATAAAACCATGCATTCCACATGGGCAGGAAGTTCAAGATCATAAAACGCGCCTGGGAGGCAAAAACCTTTGCCAACATTCAAGGGAAGTGATAAATATAAGTTCAAGCTCTTTGATGACCGACATTTCAATCAGTTCTCAACCCCCTGCAGACTTTGCTGCAAAGGCAAGTCAAAGCAAGGATCTACTCTCCTGCGTGCAAAGGTTCCTGCTTCCACAGGAAAGAAGAATTCAGCGCAGTAGCGGCGCTATAAGTCTTTCTCATATGATCTGTGGGATGAGCTAGGACTTT